AAAAAAAATAAAAAAAAAAAAAAAAAAAAAAAAAAAAAAAAAAAAAAAAAAAAAAAAAAAAAAAAAAGAAAAAGAAAAATTTATACAAAAAAATCTTAAAAATTAAAAAATCGAGGGAGGAGGAGAAGGAGGAAGAGGAGGGGGGTTGAAAAAATTAAAAATTAAAAAGGCTCGCTAAACGCGCCGGCTGTCCTTTTATTATGGTTATTATGATGATGATGATGATGATGGTGGTAGTGGGGGGGCTGCTTTTTTTTTTTTTTTTTCTCTCTCTCTCTGCCTCTGTCTCTGCCTCTCTCTCTCTCTCTCCGCTCCTCCTCGCGGAATCGCTCCTAATTCCTCGCCGGCGCCGGCTCGCTCTGCCCCTGCGCGGCCGGCGGGCGAGGCTGGCGGAGGCGGGCCGGGCGCGGGTGCCGTGCGGGGCGGGCGCGGGAGGAAGGGCAGCGGGGCGGGATGGGGGGGGAGGGAGGGAGGCGGGGGGAGGAGGAGGAGGAGGCGCTGCCACCGCCGCCGCTGCCCGAGCGCTGCCGTCCGTCCGTCCCTCCGCGCGTCCGTCCGTCCGTCCGTCCCCTCCGCCGCCGCTCCGCCCGAGCGCAGCAGCCGCGCCGGGCTGGAGCAGACTGCGAGAACCCGGAAGTAGTGGTGGCCATAACAGGTCGCGTCTTACACAATGCGCTGGGCGGCAGCAACTCCGCCACCGGCGCGGGGGGGGGCGCGCCGCGCGGCCCCCGCGCCTCTCCTCGCTCGCACACACGCGCACACCGCCCCCTCCCGGCCCTGCCCTCGCACACCCCCCTCGGGCGCACACACAGCGCGGTGCGCCCGCCCCGCCGCCGCCACCGTGGGGGCGCTCCCGCCGCCCTTTTGTCTGGCGGCGCCGCCGCTCCGCGCCCCGCGCAGCGCCCCCCCCCAGCGCCGCCCGCCCCGCGCTTCTCCGCCGGCCGTGCCCCCCCCCTCAACGCCCGCCCCCCCCACACACACACGGCGGCTCCCCCCGCGGCCGCCGGCCGAGTGAGCTCACCCGGCCCCCGGCCGCCGCCGCCGCGCCGCCAACGGCCAATCAGCTCCGCGCCGCCCCGCGCCGCGCCCCCATTGGTCCGTGCGGGGAGCGGGGCTCGGGACCGGCGCGCGCCGGGGGGGGCTACGGGAGGGGGGGGAGTGTGGGGGAGCGATCCCCCCTCACACACCCCCGGCTCCATCTCCGTCCCTATCCAGCCCCATTCCCAGCCCTATTTCCAGCCCTGTCCCCTCCACCGGGCTCCGCAGCCGTGCTGTCCTGCCCTTTTCTTCCCCCCTCGCCGAGGCGGGGGTCCCGCTGCCTCGCGTCCCCAAAGCACGGCGGTCCCCTCCTTTCCCGCAGCCCTACTGGTGCGGGAGCGGGGAAGTCGCCGTGCCCCTTCCTCCCGTACCTGCGGAGAGCTGCCCCCTCCGGCACTACCGCATCTCCCGCCCGGGGAGAGCGAGAACACCCCCGTACAGCGGGTCCTCGGGGGGATTCGGGGCAGTGGCGGGGGTGTCCCGCCGCTAAAACCCCCGGGGACGCTGCTCCGCTGCTGCCGGAGCCCCCGGGGCCGCCACGTCTCAAACTTCGGGGAAACCCGTTTCGATGATCTCCCCCACTCCCTCCTTTGCTCCCTCCTGCCCCCTTTCCGCTAGGAACTGGCCTTTTATCCCGGCGAGGGAAATACAGACCTCTCAGGTAAGAGCCGTTTTCATACACTGACTCCCTCACCCACCCACCCACCCGAGCGACGCGCGTGGGGTTCATCTCCCTGTTGATTTCCCCCCGGGAACGGCGCTCGGGAACGATTCCCCACCGTAGCGGTCCCTTGCAGGGGGTTGCTTCGACTCAACTCCGAGGGATGCTTCCCCCTCCTCCCCGAAAAAAAAAAAAAAAAAAAGGAAATTAGGGGTAAAAAACCCCTGAAAACCCCTTTTTCAGCGTCCTCACCGGGCCTTTATGAGCTTAATTCAGAGCAACCCAGAGCCCGAAACACTTTTACAATGTAATTACAGCCCTACAAATTGTTTGCCCAAACCTCATCCTGGATAAGGATTTTACAATTAGCAAACAGTTATTACTCTTAGGGCTCGCTGCGAGGAACTGCTCTGCCCGCCGCTCCGCCGGCGAGAGGCCGGCCAGAATTAAAAGGGAAAAAAAAAAAAAAAAAAAGAGGGGGGGAGAGGGGGACTAATCCGGACAGCAATTAATCATCTATTAAACGAGGAAAAGTAAGCGGCCAGATCCACGCTATCCCGGCAAACTCCTGCCGGGCTGATGCGCTGAGCGGCAGCGGGACCGGCGCAGCATCTCACCCCGCCACCTTTTTAGGCAAGGCTGCTCTTTTATTTTTTTTTTTTCCCCCAAAAAACCCTTGCTGTTTTGCAGGAATCTATTTACGCTTGTCCATAGCAAAAGAGTGAGGGGGGCGGGGGGGGGGGGGGGAAAGGGAAGGGAATAGGGATAAGGGAAAAGCACTAAGGAAAGAGCGGGGGGTCTGGCGGGAGCAGCGGGCCGAGCAGCGGCCTCGCCGCGGAGCGCCCTCTGCGCGGCCCCCCCGACCCCGGCTGGGCTTTTGGGGAAGGGACCCTCCGAGCTGAGGCAAAAAAAAAAAAGGCCGTCTGGGGAGCGAGGGAGCCTCCTCCACGAGGTGGAATCTGGGTCCATTTGCTTATCGGATAATAAATGAGGCTTTTAATCAGGCTGAATTTCCCAGCTTAAGGAAAGAATTAGTCATACCTAGGAACAATCAAATCGTTTCTAGCAGGCTTCCCTGCCGCCTTCCTAGCAGGGACTGGGGGGGGGGGGGGGGGGGGGGGGGGGGGGGGGGGGGGGGGGGGGGGGGGGGGGGGGGGGGGGGGGGGGGGGGGGGGAGACTGGGGACGGAGATGGGGGGAGAATTAGCATCCAAGTGTGCTCTTTCACCATTAATACTGAAATCTGAAAACTGAAATAGGAACAACCAGGAGAGCCAAACAAACAAGAAACCGCAGAAGAAAGCATTGGAAAAGGCGGCCGGGAGATAATCCAGGAATGCTTCAGATAAGGAAAGGGGGGGAGCGATACGTGCGGAGATACCTGAAAAGTCAGAGCTTGATGGAGCGGTTGAAAGAGGGATGGAGGGTGGGAGGGGGGGAAACCCGAACTTGTTTAAAGCCCATTAAAGGTCAGATCGGGGTGGGGGGTGGGGTGCGTGTGATCATAAAAGGAGGTTAAATGCGAGGGGTTTAAGCGCGCAGATGAAGAGCAGGGCCAGGATTTTGGGGGGGTGTGTGAGGGGGGTGTTTACTAGCTCCTGATGCAGAAAAACAAAAGAGCGGCGGGTCCATCCAGAGAGCCAGCCCGGGGACAGCTGGGGCTGCCCTGCACCCACCGCCGGCACAGCCCGGGCCCCGGGAGCCGCGGGGGAACGGGGGAACCGGGAATGGGGACTGCCTGCTCCCCGCCACGGCCGGCCCTGACGTTTGCAGAAGTTATGGGGGATTTTGATTAATTAAAGGGAGGGCTTCATAAAATAAGTCCCAATAAAATTTACGCATGTCTTAAAACTTTCTAAACACCGCTATATATATATATATATATATATAAAATAAAATTATCTGAGAAAGAGTTATTGGCCGGGATTTTTTGTGACTTCAACGGTGACAGCGGTGCCGGCGGCGGGAGTGAAGGTACCCGCACACAAAAGGAGCCTTTCAGGGACAAAAGTTGCGGCGGCTGCCAGGTTCCTCCCGCGGTGGCACCTCGGGGTAGCCCGGGCAAGGCAGCACAGAGCCGACCTGAGCCTGAGCCTATCTCACACTACAAACAGACAATTTGAGCCTAAAATCCCCCAAATACCCGCAGAGCCCGGCAGCACCGTAGCGTCGGGGTTGTTGGGGGTTTTTTTCTTTCACGT